GCAACTCTCAGAAGAAGCCTGTGAGAGTTCAGGGAAGTTTCAGAGGAGGAAGAGGCAGAGGACGTGGAAGAGGTAGGGGTGGCAGTGTACAACAAAAAAGGAAATTTGACAAGTCAAAGATTAAGTGCTATAACTGTGAGCAAATGGGGCATTTTGCCTTAGAATGTCCTGTAGAAGAAAAGGAGGAACAAGCCAATGTCATAGAGCAAGAAGATGATGAGGAAGCTGCACTTTTAATGATTGAATCATGTGAATTGACTAAGTCACGTGACTTGAAGGACACCTCGGAAGCAGGATGGTTTCTGGACACAGGAGCCAGCAACCATATGACTGGAGAGGGAGGTTGGTTTTCTGAGTTGGATCAATCTATGCAAGGGAAAGTGATGTTTGGTGATGGGTCCATGATCAATATACAAGGTCAAGGATCTGTGGTATTCAAATGTACTAATGGAGAACATTGGGTTCTTCCAAAGGTATATTACATACCAAGATTGAAAAGCAACATTCTGAGCATAGGTCAGTTTGATGAAAGTGGGGGTCAAGTGATTATCAAAGGAGGGGAACTGAAGGTCTATGACAATCATGACAGACTCTTAATCAAGGTTAAGAGACAACACAACAAGTTATTTGTTGCAAGCTTGAAGACTGTAGAGAAGGTGTGCTTGTTAACAAGCATGACTGACAAGTCATGGCTATGGCATGCTAGGTATGGGCATCTCAATTTTCAAGCATTGAAGAAACTCTTAACTCAGAACATGGTAGAAGGAATGCCTATTATCACTTGTGTGAATCAAGTCTGTGATGGGTGCATAATAGGCAAGCAACATAGAGACATATTCCCTCAGAAAACAAGCTTCAGAGCTCAAACCAAATTGGAACTTGTACATGGAGATCTATGTGGCCCCATCACACCATCCACACCAGGAGGAAACAGCTACTTTATGCTTCTAGTAGATGATTTTTCACGTTTTATGTGGGTATCTATACTCAAACACAAAGGAGAAGCACTGAATACATTCAAAAGATTCAAGGGCCTTGCAAAAAATGAAGTGGGAGAAAAGCTAAAGTGCTTCAGAAGTGACAAGGGTGGTGAGTTCAATTCTATTGAATTCAAGAATTTCTGTAATGAAAAAGGTTACAGAAACCAAACCATCATGGAAATGGTTAGAAGTCTACAAAAAAGTAAAAATATGTCTGCAAAATATTGGGGAGGAGTAAGAACCTCAGTATATTTGTTGAATAGAGCCCCAACCAAAAGTTTGGAAGGGATAACACCATATCAGATGTGGCATGGAAGAGTTCCTAGTGTGCAGCATCTCAGAGTCTTTGGTTGTATAGCTCATGCAAAAATTGTGGGTCCCCACCTCACAAAACTTGCAGATAGAAGCAAGAAGACTGTTCTAGAGGGAACCAAAGCCTACAGATTGTTAGATCCAAAGGAAGGCAGAGTTATAGTGAGCAGGGATGTAGTGTTTGAGGAGGATAAAGAGCGGACATGGCAAGACACACATGAAGGCAGCAGTTCAGGTAATGAAAACAGGGGGAGCTGACCACTCAACTCACTCAGGGGGAGAAGGAACTACATCATCACATCAATCATCTCAGGACTCTCCTCCAAGTACCCCAACATCCTCTGAAACCTCTGACTCAAGCACCATGTTACGGGCAGCTTGTGTGCAAGATCTCGTCACAGGCATTCGGGTGAGTGGGAGGGTGGACTGAGCTTTGGAAGGGTTGGCTATGTTTACTGTTTGGGCAGAAAACTAAGAAGAATATAATTATGCAAACTTTTATCAAGTTGGAATTTTTTGTTGAGAATTCCAGAAACTCCCTTAGACTTTTCTTGCTAAAAACTTGCATGCCTTTTCCCTGCATTCAACTGGCCTTTAAATAGGCTTTACAGAGCTTGGATTTTTTTTTTTTAAACCCAGTGGCAAACCATCCTAGGATGGGGTAAGGGCCGGGGAACACCTTACCTATTATTTATAAGATAAGGGAAGAAGGAAAATACAAGGTAGGGGGACTAGGCCAGGACCCACCCGAGAAGAACAATTAGATAACATAAGGAAAAGCAATAGCATCAAATTAAGAATATTGCTGAATCTGTTGGAGCTTTACAGAGCTTGGAAAATAAAATAAAGAAAACAATTAAACAGAAAACAATAACTCAAAGATTGCAATCAGAAAATGATATCTCAAATCTCTAAGGATCTCAAATCCCTGACAGTGACATGTCTATCAGATTTGTCTGATTTATTTGTCTCCCAGATTTGTTTGATTTTATTTGGCTTCCAAATCAGTTTGATTTGGCATTGTGATTTGCTGACTTTTATCTTTCTTTCTTTTACGGTGATACTGACACCCTGTGAATGCATCACACCAGTCATCACAACTACAGGTCTTTACAAGACATCTATGATTCAACCATAGAAGTGAAAGAAGAGGTAAGTTTTTGCTTACTATCTATTGAAGAGCCCTCATCATATTCTGAAGCTGCAGGAAATCAGAATTGGAGAGAAGCCATGATGCTAGAGATAGATTCCATTTAGAAAAATGGAACCTGGGAATTGTCAGACTTGCCTAAGAATCACAAAGCAATTGGCCTTAAGTGGATTTTTAAACTAAAGAAAGATCGTGATGGAAAGATAATTAAGCACAAAGCCAGACTAGTTGCTAAGGGCTATGTTCAAAAGTATGGAGCGGACTATCAGGAAGTTTTTGCTCCTGTGGCTAAACTGGAGACCGTAAGAGTATTGTTGGCAATCTCAGCACTCAAACAGTGGGAGGTACATCACAATATCACATGGATGTAAAGACTGCCTTTCTAAATGGCAAACTAAAGGAAGAAGTATATGTATGCCAGCCAGAGGGTTTTGTGAACCCTAAATTTCCAAACAAGGTACTCAGATTGCATAAAGCCTTGTATGGATTAAAACAAGCTCCTAGAGCTTGGAATGAGAGACTGGATAAGTGCTTAAAGTCTTTGGACTTCACCAGGTGTGTTTCTGAGCACTCAGTATACATGAGAAGAACTGAAGAGCATATCATGATAGTGGGAGTCTATGTAGATGATTTGATACTTACAGGATCATGCTTAAAAGGGATCCATGATTTCAAGGATGAACTGAAGAAAAAATTTGAGATGAGTGATCTGGGACTTCTTTGTTATTATTTATCATCTAGGGATTGAAGTAAAGCAAGAGAAAGATTTCATAGCTCTCAGGCAGACTGGCTATGCAAAGAAGATCTTAGAAAAAATGGGGATGGCGGAGTGTAATCCTTGTTGTCTACCCATGGAACCAAGATGCAAGCTCAGTAAATATGATGGAGAACCAACTGTGGACCCCACAAACTACAGGAGCATCATTGGCAGCTTGAGGTATTTAACAAATACTAGACCTGATCTTGCATATTCTGTAGGCATTGTAAGTAGATACATGGAAACTCCAACTACCTCACACTTGAATGCTGTAAAGCAAATCCTGAGGTACATCAAGGGGACTGTGAGTTATGGTTGTAAGTATAAATGAAATCAAACAGGTGGAGGCTTGTTAAGTTACTGTGATAGTGACTTAGCAGGGGACTTAGATGACAGGAAAAGTACTACTGTGATCATTTACTTCCTTAATAGTAAGCCAATCACTTGGGTCTCACAAAAGCAGAGAATTGTTGCACTTTCTTCATGTGAAGCAGAATATATATCAGCAACTGGTGGGGCTTGTCAGGGAATTTGGCTCAGCAAACTGATTGAAAGCATACTGGATAATAAAGAAGAAAAGATAGTATTAAGAATTGACAACAAATCTACTATAGCCCTAGCCAAGAACCCGGTTCATCATGAAAGAAGCAAGCATATTGATACAAGGTATCACTTTATCAGGGAAAGTATTGAAAAAGACATGATCAGCTTGGAGTATGTTCACTGGATTAAGAAGCAAGATTGGAGTTCAGCACTTAGAAGACTAGAACAAGTTTAAGCGGGAGATTGTTAGGTGTTTTAAACTTGTTCATGTTATTTGTGTACATAACATTTGTTTAGTTGTTACTTGTAACATTATTTTAAGTGTGTGTGTGGTACTTTGTACGTGTGCATGTGGGTAGATAAGGTCAAGCCTTGCATGCACGCACATAGGAGTGTTTTTAGGAAGTGGTTGCGTGAGTTGGTTACGTGGGGTGTGTTTTATCCTTTATATGTGTGCGTTGTGTAGGGGTTTTTTCATCCAGATCAAATGGATTTTTCCCCTAAGTGAATGAAAAGAGATTTAAAGAAAAGCAGTCTCTCAATTCCCTTTTGTTTGTTCATACACGCATAACATCATTCAGTAGTGTTTCCTGGGCATTCTTATTGCTTACAGGGATGATAGTAGGTTTACATTTAAAGATGGTTGAAGAGAACGTGAAACAAACAACAACAACAACAACAACAACAACAACAACAACATTACCCCAGTGCCGCAAAGGCTCCCCCCGATAGGGAAGGGGGGTCAAATGTATACAGTCTTACCCCTGTACTAAAGCCAGAGAGATTGTTTCTGGATGACCTATGATAAAAATCACATCGAAAATTGCATGGACTGATTGTTGTTTCATATCAGAAAGACACAGACAGTTTAGTGAGTCATTTTGCTTTATTCCATCCTATTCCCAAACTAAAAAATAATGAGCCTTTGGCTCCATTGGAAATGATGAAAAAGAACGTGAAACATACAACAACATGTCAACAACAACAACATGTCAACAACAACAACATTTCCCTAGTGTCGCAAAGGCTCCCACCTTCGATGGGGTAATGAGGATCGGATGTACGCAACCTTACCCCTCTACTAAAGGGGAAAGGGACTGTTTTTGAATTACCCGTGATGAAAACTCATCAGAAATGCATTTAGAGAAATTATTTAACGAAACATATACATATTTTCTACACTAAAACTAACAAATAGAGATAAACCAGTAAAACACATATCAACTATCCACTCCAAAAATCCCCCAAACCAGCTTACCAAATGCGAGCATAGTTTTCTTGAATCTCAAGATCACCTATGTTATAAAATGTTGTTGGAGTCACATTTGCCCCTTGAATTGCATCATAACTTGGTCTTTTTTCCATATGTGCTTGTGACAACTACAAGGGAGAAAAGCAACTCTTGAACTATACTCACCTCTAGTATAAAATATAGTAAGTTTTATGATACGTTTCTTTTAAGGGTGTGTTTGGATCGAGGGGAGGAAGGGAAGTTCTCCTTTGGTTTGGGAGGAAGGAAAAATAGAAGGTTGGGATGATTAACTCCCATTCCCTCACTATGGACCAAACACACCCTAATAGATATTAGATAGCATTATCTTTTTCAGTTTTTTTTACTATACACACGGGTCAAATAAGCCTTTCAACTCTTCGTAAGAGATCAAATCAACCCTTGTACTGATATAAGCGTCACATGAACATGACTGCTCATAAGAAACAATGAATTAGGTCCACAAACCTGCCAAAGTAGGTAAACTGCTTGTGTGGATCTTTTAGTTTCCAAAGTAGAAGACTCATCAATCACCATCATCATCTTCTTCCAAACATCTGATTTCCCCATATTCTTTTCCATACTTTTTTTTTCTAAGAAGTCGATTTCTTATCTCACGGTTGAAGTGAAGATCAATGGTTCAATAGTTCTTCTTGCATGTTACTCGAAAAAACTAAATATGTTAAAAATGCATATTCAAATTTGGGCAAGACAGATCACTCTTTTAATGTTTCCTGGCTCATTGCATTAAGAAGTTGTTCTCTTCACCTGATCTGATTGTTTCTGATCTGAATTTTTTAAGTTCTGATCTAATCTGATCTGAATTTTTCAGATCTGATCTGAATTTTCTGATCTGATCTGAATCTTTCTGGTCTTATCTGATCTGAATCATTCTGATCTGATTTGAATCCTTCTGATCTGATCTGAATCTTTCTGATCTGATTTGATGTGAATATTTCTATAATTATTATAAATGTAATTATAATTATAAATACAATTTAAATATAATTATAATTATAATCATAATTATAAAATAATTATAATTGAAATTAAAATTAAAACTAAAATTAAAATTAAAATTATAATAATTAAACTTATTACAATAATTATAATTATAGCTATAATTATGAATGTAATTACATTTTTAATTATAATTATAATTATAATCATAATAATTGTAATTACATTATAATTATATTTATAATTATAATCATAATTATATTTATAATCATAATTATAATTACACTTATAATCATAATTATAGATATAATAACAATTATAATTATAGCTATAATTATAATTAGTGTACGACGACGACGAAGACGACGACGACGACGATAATAATAATAATAATAATAATAATAATAATAATAATAATAATAACAACAATCCTAATAATAATAATGACCATAATAATGAGCATATTAATCATAATTATATTTGTAATTATAATTATGATCATAATTATAATTATAATCATAATCATAATTATAATTATAATCATAATCATAATTATAATTATGATCATAATTACAATTATAATTATCATTACCTATAATTTTAATTAGTGTATTAGGTATAATAATTATTATTATTATTATAATTATATTTATAATAATTATTATTATTACTATTATAATTATTATAATTATAATAAAAGTGATTAATCATGTGTGAACTTTTTTTATCTGATCTGTATGTTTATGATATGATCTGAATGTTTCTGATCTGGTCTGATCTGAATCTTTCTGATCTGATCTGAATGCTTCCGATCTGATCTGAATTTTTCTGATCTGATCTGAATAAAATATGAATAAGCAATAAGTAATAAGAATAAGACGAACATAACAACTTCTAAGAAAGCATTATACTTGAATAGTGAAATTAGGGGCCTTTGAAGCATGTATAGCCATCAAGACAATTTCATATAAAAATCATGTGTTTCGGGTGTGGTCACCAACTCACCAGGGCTTGGGTTTCCAGCTTGTCATTATTGGCCTTTGAGGATGCCCGATTAGCAAGAGTAAGAAGTTGTTCTCTTCAGCTTATTCTTATTACTTATTGCTTATTCTTTTTTTATTCAGATCAGAAAAATTCAGATCAGATCAGATCAAAAGCATTTAGATCAGATAAAAAAGATTCATATCAGACCAGATCATAAATATTCAGGTCAGATCAGAATAAGAAAAGTGTATACATGATTTATCACTTTTATTTTTATATTAATTATAATTACTATTATTACTATTATATAATAATAAGTATTAATCATTTTATTATTATTAATAATAATAAAAAGAATATATTAATAATAATATAATAATAATGATAATATAATAATAATACTAATGTAATTATATAATAATAATATAATAATATTATAAATAATAATAATAACATATTATAATGATTATTATATTATAGTTATTATTATAATAATATTATTATATTATTATTATTATATTATTATATTATTATAAACATAATATTTATATTATTTTTATAATTATTATCATAATTACAATTATAATTATAATTATAATTATTAGTATCATTACTAATATTATTAATAAATTTATTAGTATTATTATTAATATTATTATTGTTGTAATTATTATTATTATACGGTGTAATTATATTTATATTTATAATAATTAATTTATTTATAATTACAGAAATAAATATTTTAATATAATTACAATTATAAATTATATAAGTAATTATAATTAAAAATATAATTACAATTATAATTGTATCTTTAGTTATAATTTGTTTAATAGGTGTAATTATTATAATTTTAGTTTTAATTTTAACTATTATTAAACTAGTATTATTTATAATTATGATTATAATTATAATTTTATTTAATTTATATTTGTTATTAAAATAATAATTTTAATTACTATAATTATAATTATAATTATAGAAATATTCAAATCAGATTAGATCAGATCAGATCAGAAACATTCAGATCACACCAGATCAGAAAGATTCAGATCAGATCAGATCAGAAAAATTCAGATCAGACCAGATCAGAAAAATTCAGATCAGATCAGAACTTAAAAAATTCAGATCAGAAACATTCTGATCAGGCGAAGAGAACAGCTTCTAAATGGTGGACATGTGCCATCTTAGGATTGGAAAATTCTTCTATTCATAATCGGAATAAAATTACAATAGGAAGAGCAAACTCTCACGCTCAACTATTAAACAAAATTGGTCTCTAATATCAATCACTTTTCTCAAGTGTTTAAATCTATTTTTCTGATGATACTTAACAAAGAAATAGCTCCCTATTTATAGGATACTGCTGGGAACATCTTCATTGTTGTTCATGTTTCAGCTCATGCCTCTCCATACTCATATTAATGGGTGGATGATGGAAAACATACCATGGTGTGGGAGAGGGAATTGGTTTGGCAGTTGCAGCACTCCTACCAATCTCCTCCTCCAGCTTTTTCTGGAATTGGTTCATTCCAACCATGCTTATACATAGCTTGTACTTTTTGTGTGAAAATACTTTAATTAACATGTCCGCGACTATTTTTATTTGTGTGAATCTTTGAGAGCTTCAATTCATTTTCTTCGATTGCTTCTCAAGTCAGTGAAATCAAACATTGATATGTTTTGTGCGCAAATGATACATTGAGTTCTTGATAAGATCCATAACACTCTGACTATCACAGTAAATGATATATTCTTGCAAAAAGCCAAACTCTAGATAAGTACTTGCTTACAACACCAACAACGTGAGCAGTATTAAATATTGTACACACCATTGCATACATCAAACTTCCAACTGCTAAAGAGTAGGGCACCGCTTTCTTCATCTCTTTTTCTTTCTCAAAAAGATGACAACTTTCCTTACTCAATTTGAAGTGATTGACTAACGGAGTGCTTACAGGCTTGGCACTATCCATGTTGAACCTTTTGATCACGCGTTCAATATACTCCTCTTGTGATAAGAACAACTTCTTTGTCTTCTGATCACGAACAATTTTCATGGCCAAAATTTATTGCACCGGACCTAAGTTTTTCATATCGAAAAACAATTTGCATCAAATTGTTGATGAGGGTCACATCTTGGCTTCTATCAGCATATAATCCATGTAGAGCAATATGATGATAGATTTTCCATCTAGGAACTTCTTCAGGTACACACAGTGGTCTGCAATTGCTCTCATGCATTAGTGCTTCACCATGAATGAGTCAAACTTCTTATACAATTCCTTCGGGGCTTGCTTGAGACCATAGAGGCTCTTCTTTAATTTGCAAATAAGATGTTCTTTTATTGGCACTTTGAAACCCTCAATTGTTCCATGTATATCTCTTCTTTCATATCACCGTGGAGAAATGTTATTTTCACATCCATTTGTTTAAAGTTCAAGGTTCATACTGGCAACCAACTCGGGTACAGCTCAAATCAACATCAATTTCACAACCGGCGAAAAAGTCTCATCAAAGTCAATTCTTTGTTGTTGTTAGGATCATCTGACCATGAGTCTTGCCACGTGCTTCACAATATTACCGTTGACATCTTTCTTCAAATTTAAAACTCGTTTTTTCAAGGTTTTCTTTTCTTTGAGCACTAAGTCATAAGTATGGCTCTTATGTAAGAATTTCATCTCATCTTTCATAGCTTTACACCAATCAGATTTGTTTTGATGAGATTGAGTTTCGTAAAAACTCTCTAGCTCTCCCTCTCTGGTAAGAAGGATCCATTCAGATGTCGGGTATCTTCTTTGTGAAACTATATCACGCGTAGAATGTCGATCATGAGCGTTTTCAGTAATGCCTTCAGGTGAAGGCTCCCCCTACTAAGGGTTTTCTTCATCTTGATCATCACCCATATCTACGAGGTTGTCATTTTCTTGTTCAGCATTATCACTCACTTCCTCATTGTTGAGGGGACGTGCGATGATACACGGACGTCTTCTGGAGCTTGAGATACGTTGTTTGTGACATATATGAGCAAAGTCATGAAATGGTTTTCATCAAATCAACGTTTGCAATTGCGCAATGCCATAGCGCATTATGGCACGCCTCACCTATTTCCAGGTATATTGCGTAAAATTGCACTACATATGGAGGACAGGGTTGTAGCATACGCAATAAAACCTACACAATGAGGCATGCTAAGAAGTACACTAAATGAGGTCTGAGAATTGCGGCGAGCTAGAATATAACTAAATTTAAGTTTTAATTTTTTAGACTCAAGTTATGGTTTCTGAATTGGTGTCTTGTTATTGTTGTGAATCGTGACTTGTTTTTTTGAGAGTATGACTTTTTAAATGCATTTAGTAAGATATTATGTTGAATACGTCATATTTGGTAATTCTAGAAAAATATACATAATGTTTTCTAAACCGTGTGCTTGACATGATCTAGGTGAGCACTTTTTTGCGCCTTGTGCCTCGGGCGATATGAGAACTTTAGTGCCTTGAGTGACATGATCTAGGCGAGCACTTTTTTATGCCTTGTGCCTCGGGCGATATGAGAACTTTAGTGCCTTGAGTGCGCGTCACGGCTTTGACTACCTTGGGAGGGAGAGTATACGTGTCGAGGATTGATCTTATAGTGGTTCTCTCCTTCTTTATTTATTTATTTATTTATTTGTTTATTTATTATTCTTTTTTAACTCTTACTATCCTCCGTTCTATAATTCTTGCAACAGTTTGACTTTCACGTTTGCCAATGCACAACTTTGACTGTAATTATATTTAATTATGTATTAGTAAACATTATAAAAAGTTGATATTTTGGAAATTCACATTGATAAGAGTTCAATAACATTTTATACGCAATAATCTGATTATGTATATTAGTAGAAAATCGTGGTCAAAGTAAGATATGTGAATAGTGTAAAAATCACAATGTTGCAAGAATTATAGAACGGAGGAAGTATATTATATGTTAGTTCATGTTAGCGGTTAGCCAATTCCAAACTCTTTTGGGAATAAAACTTTCTTCTTCTTCTTGTTTCAGTATTAGGTTTTTTGTGACTGCCTTGAAACCGTAAGAGGGATTATAAAACCCTTTTCCATTTTCCATCATTCTATAGAAAGAAAAAAAGAAGAGTAAAAGCACACTTTGAGGGAACTTTACTTGCATATTCATTGAGTTACATGCACCAAGGCGTCCGATAATATGCCAAGACCGAATAGTCTGCAGCAAATAAAACCAACCAACCAGGTCAGATGGAATCCCTTGCAAAAGCATAAAAACAGAAGCACAAATTACTTACGTTACAAATCAATGAGACATCCTTCTCCAATGGGGAGTTGTAGAACTCAAACCATATATATGAGTTTGTAAAATCAAATCTACCAATGCATAATAAGACGACCACATAATTTAGTCAAGGATAAACTTACAAATCTTCCCAACTCATTAATTTGCATTTAAGAAAGGGATGGGGGAAAGAACTTAGATGCTTCTAGAGATAGAGATCAGCCGCTGTTAGGCAAGGGGATTTGGACAACAATGTTTGTATCTTACCATTAGAGTCTGCCTACATCCAATATTAAACATATGAATGAGTGAATTCATGAGCTTTTGTATCAAGTAATAGTAGACCAGCAAACTGATTCGAATCCAATTTCTTAATATGGCTTGGCCTAAGTACATTTGAGCTATCATCATCCAATCAGGAACTCTACCCTCTAATTCTTTAATCTCATGAGTGAAAATGCATTATTGGTGTCTCCAAACTTACTGGTTGAATTTCACTGCCATGGGTATAGGCGAGCCAGTCTTTGATTGCAAAACATTGTTCCTTTTCTTTCTGAACCTTTCATCAATCTGTGGATTTATATATAGAGAACGAAAGAAAGAAAAAGCAGGGTATATTGTGTTAAGCAAAGACTATTGAGTATATATAAAAATATATAGGGTGCGGAGTATGATTGTTGCAGAAGAGTAAAATCAAGCGGACCCAAACCCTGCTAATAAGATCCAAGCTCAGGTTACTTACTTTGGACTTGGCTTTTTCTGGGTCAACGATGAGGCTTCCAAGAATCTCACCAAACTCGGGGTCCCTATCATAATCCTTCCCAACACCTTTTCTTCCTCCGAACCCATCTTCCTCGTCGTCGCCAGAGGAAATGTTCGATGACTTGCAATCTGCTTTCCAGCTATGGGTGTTGCTTGCTTTGGCGGTGGTCGGCTTTCTGCTTTGTGAAGGTAGTAGTCGGAAAGGACAAGTGAAGGCGGGGGATTGCAGCAAGGTCAACATTGCTGCCCGCCGCGACCTACTTTTTGTTGATTTGCCCGATCAACAACGACAATCTTTGGCAGCCGGCCAGTCTATGTTTAAAACACCGAGCCACCCGGCCACATCACAAGCTAACCCGGTGGATGCGAGAAACTCGGTTAACAATTACCTGGTATAAAAATTTAAAGCACTCTCCTAATATTCCAAAATACTGTATAATTTTGATTCCATTAAATATATATATTGATATTTGTTAATTATATTGTACATAATACATAATTTGGCATGATTTTGTTTTTAAAAATGGGACATGATCCAATTAGATTGTTGTCTCTTATGGTAGTGTTGATTTTGTTCTATGACGGTTCTTTCCTGGGCACTGGTGCTCCGGAGTGGTTTGTCTCTCTCGATGTGGGGAGTTCCGTTAGTGTCCCGGCTAGTTTCGTCTGGTCAGAGTTTCTGTCTGCTTTCTTCTAGAATGCGTAGACATTAGTAGATCTTGTCCGCATCCAAATTCACATACGTGTCATAAAGAGTTTTGTGAAAAGACTTTATTTCAATTTTATTTTTCTATTAATAGTGCTTGTTTTTATTTTAGTTTCAGTAGGTTTGGTTTGGAAATGTGGAATTCTGGTTTACGTTTGATAGACAGTATTTCCGTTTCGTGTCTAATGAATCAGGTTGTTTTGTATGAAGTGACTGATTTTATGTTTATTCTCATGACTTACAATCAGATCTGTCAGAAATATCTACATGTTATCTTGTATCTTTTCTCAATTTTAATATAAAGTTGATCCTTTATATTCAAAAAACAATTTTTTAAAATGAAAAAAATGGTAATTTAAAAAAAATCAAAACAGGGTTTCCGGGTTTGTTTGGATCCCAGGTGTGGACTGGGCTTTCCCGGGTCAACCGTGTTTTTCCGGATTTTAGCAATTTTTGAGTTTTTCACTAACCGAATCGGGTTTTGGTCTGGGTCGACCGGCCGATCCGGTTCGGTTTTTTAAACACAGGTTCCGATTACTCGGCATCACTACCCCGTGTATTTTTGTAATAAGTTGCAATTTAATTGTAGTGTATGTTTGCTATATATAAGTGTTGAGATTGAATGGGTTTTAGTTTGAATTTGCCCCGAGAAGAAGAGTGCGGAAGAGAAAAGTGGGAGCAAGAATTGAGAGTATTAAACGGACATTAATTTGAATTCACCTCAATTTATTCTTGTGAACACCATTGCTAGTTTGGATTATTTTTGTGGACACTCTTAGTAAGGATTGTTATTGTAGAATCCTTAAAAGTAGGAATTATTCTTATAAATTTCACCAAAGATATATAATACTAGTCGGAGGTAAATCATACCAACTATGGTCAGGCTCTACATAGCTAGTTGGGATAAAGCATGTGCAACTCTATTTGGTGATTGACAAACAAATTGGACATCTTTCTATATACAAACTGTTGTGGAAAAGCAGTACACACTACAACAATATTGTTTTTTTATAGCATAGAAGCATAGCGTTTCTATAGAGAATGTTATAATTGAGCTGTTCTTTGTTTTGAATAGTTCTACCAAATTAATTAAACGCTATTGCTAGATAGAGTGGAGAAATAAGATACTGGGCGGGTATATTAAATGAAGTCGGCCTTTAGGTTTGAAAGAAAAATCAGACCAGCACCCCACATTTTCACTATCTTCTCTCTGGCTTTCTCGTTGCCGCCATAGTCGATTCACCGTCATAACGCAGATCCAAATTCTCCACTCAACTGCCTATTGCGATTTGCGAGGATTCATACCTATTACTAAACGTTTCAATCGTCTGTTGTAAGTTGTAAGATTCACTTATATCCATTTATCTCTGTTCTCTAACTTCAAATCGATTTTTCTTCCATACTTTATTTCGATAGTTACAAATCTTCTGGGTTTTTTTTTTAACCCGGAAGGCAAACCACCAAAATCAGTGGGGCAAGTGCCGGGAGTCAGTTGCCGATATTTTATTAAGAATGAAGTTTGTTACAAAAGGAGGAAAACCTCAAAAAGCCAAATACCAGAATAATAAAATTTGGGGGGACTAAACCTGACCCAATAAAGGAAAAAGATTATCCAGATCTAAAATAACTCAGGCCTAATTTGTCAGCAATAACCGCACGTCTAATATAATTAGGCAAACACCTGATGTTGTTAAAACTTGTCTGATCGGCCAAATTTAATTTAGAAATATAGTGCGCAGGCCAATTTATCTCCCGAAAAATATGTCTGAAGGATAAGCAATTTTCAACCATCCATCTTCTTAGGTCGAGAATCATCTTCTTCCATCTTCCCTCCAGACCGTCACCCAGAATGGCTTCGATCGCTAGCTTTGAGTCCATTTCAACCTCAAAATTCCGATATCCCATATCAATCGCCCAGGACACAGAATAGTGAGCCGCAGTAAGCTCTGCCTCCATAGCCGAAGAGACTGAGATAGGAAAATGCAGAGCAACTTCAAACTCACCTGTTCGTGTTCGAATCACAGCTCCTCCTGCCGCATGAACGAGACTGAACTCAGCATCAATGTTCATCTTGAAGTCAAAAACATGTAACCTCCACTTAATAATTCGAATTCTTGGCCTGATGGATGTAAACGACCTGGGTATTAACCGTTCTTCAAAAAGAATTGGATTAATATTGCCAAATTTGAGTTTACTCAAAGATGCATCAGACCAAAGCTGCGTATAAGATTTAATTTGTTGTATAACAGTCTGAGAATTAGGGATATCATTCAAGTCACCCCATCGAGCCTGACAATAGATTTTCCATAGATGCCAGGCTACAATTCCTGCCATATTATGCTTAAAGACATCCAGTAAAGTTTTAGTTCCCGCCTCGAGCCACCAAGCAATTAACATTTGTCTCAAAGAAATCTGATTAGATAAAATAGGAATTTCAAAGATTCCAAGAAAATACCTCCAAATGCCCCAGCTAAAAGTACAACTAAGAAGAACATTGTCAAGTTAAATCTTTTCAAGTTATCAGGAAATGGGAGAATTCTGTTGATACTCTTCCATTGAAAAATCTGAATCTGACTTTGTTGGTGCTTGTTCCAGGAATGTCTGAAAGAGAAAGTTGCATTTCTGGATCTCCTGAGTTGCTGGAAAGCTGAGGAGAGAGTGAATCTTCCATGACCTTCAGGTACCCAAATTAGCTGCCCATCATTATCCTGCACGCATAGTGACTGGCCTAGATTGTGAACCTTACAGATTCTCTTCCAAATAGATGAATCCTGAGGTTTAGGCATCATATTGAGACCTCTTGGGTATCTACTATGACAGAATTTTGCCCAACTAGATCTCCCAATCTTCCAATTCCACCAAAGCTTTAGAGAAAAAGCTTTTTTTATATCAACCAGGGATCTTAAACCTAAACCACCTTCCTCATATGGCAGGCATAAGTCTTTCCATCTTGCCCATTGATATTTGTTTTTACTAGCATTGGAACCCCATAAAAAATGTGTCATTCTTTTTTCCAAGTTTCTACTGACTGCTTTTGGTAGGGTGTCAACAGCTAATAAATGTAAAGGCAGAGTGTTAAGAACATGCTTAATGAGCACTAACCTGCCACCAAAACTAAGATGACTTTGTTTCCAAGTTGACAATTTCTTATCAAAATTTTGGAAAATTCCTTGACAATAATTCTTTCTGTTTACCCCTTTATGCAGGAAAGAACCAAGATATTTCATGGGCAAGTTGGTTTTAGTCATCCCAAGCAATCTCTCCATATTTCTAATTCTTGCAAGGGAAGTTTTCCCACAAGCAAAAGCGCTTTTGTCAAAATTAATAGCTTGGCCTGATGCTTTTTGATATAGTCCCAAAAACCTTTTAAAATTCAAAATAGATCTGGCTTCCCCATTTAGAAATACTAAGATATCATCAGCAAAACATAGATGAGTAATAGAATGCCCATCCGGACCAATCCAAAAGGGTTTGATGTTATTGACAGAAGCCAGACTCTTCAATCCTCTAGACAGGGCTTCTGTTGCTAAAATGAAAAGGTAAGGAGAAAGAGGATCCCCCTGCTTTACTCCCCTTTGTGGCTGAAAAAAGCCCTTTGGAGTACCATTTACGAGCACCGAAAAATGAGTTGACTTAAGATGATTCATCACCAACTTAACAAAATCAGTAGAGAAACCAAATTTAAGAAGAATTGCTTGTAGGAATTCCCAAGATAATCTGTCAAAGGCCTTAGCCATATCCAGCTTAACAATGATATTAGTACCCCTGACTTTCCTATCAATAGAGTTGACCATTTCTTGTGCCATCAGAATATGCTCAGAGATATCTCTCCCCTTCATAAAGCCAGCTTGCTCAATAGAAATCAATTTGGGGAGAATAGACACAAGTCTGGAGACTAGAACCTTAGTGCACACCTTACTAATAAAATTAGAAAGGCTGATAGGCCTGAAGTCAGAATAAGCAGAGAAATTATCCCTTTTAGGAATTAAAACAATTAGAGCACTAGCCATTGCCTTGGGAATAGGGTTCCCTAGAAAGAAATCCTGGACAGCCTTGACCACATCATCACCCACGACTGACCAACAATGTCTGAAAAAAACTCCATTGAAACCATCAGGACCAGCAACGCTATCTTTATCTAATTCCCAAACAGCCTTTTTGACTTCTTCAGATAGTGGTAGAAGCATCAACATGTTATTATCATTATTCTCAACTAGCCTAGGAATGTATTGCAAAATAGAATTCATATCTTCAACCTCTTCTTCTGCAAAGATATCTTGAAAGTAGTTTAGTGCAGCATTCCCAATTTCCTCTGGCAACGTACACAGGTGCCCAGCAGAGTCTTTGATAGCAGATATGTTTTG